TTATTTTATCGTTGAAATACTATAAAATAAAATTTGTGGAAAATAAGCAAAAAATGTAGAGACAATGAATACTAAAGACAGCTGCAGCAGTGAATTGGATTGTACAAGTATAGTTAATAAAGATAAATCATTAATAGATTCAATATATTAAAATATACATTAGCTATCTTTTTTGCACGTATATTATTTTTTCTATTTACTTTTTTCTATGTAGACATTTTTAAGAAATATATTAATCACTACTGATACTTACTTAACTGCGGTGGATTGATGCTCCAGGTAAGTTTATTTACAGGCGTCAGCTTCCGGGAAAGGATTCCATGCAAATTTGTGCCAGATTGGGAGCAAGGTTGGCAAAGGTGAATTCTGGATGACCATGGAGGGTGCTTGACGTCATAAGAGTAAGAGATTAGACACACGCGCGCGAACACGCCGAGATGACTAAAGAGCATTGAGAAATAAAGAGAGAAAGAGAGAGACTGAGAGAGAAAGAAAGAAAGAGAGAAGACGGAGTTAAAGCATGTGAGTAAGAGATGGTTTTAAGAGAGAGGATTACAAGAGGAGATCTTGTAGGCCAGGAATAGGTACAAAAAATTTCACGGGAAAAAAAGGCGCGAGATGAGTAAATAAACTTATTTTGAGAGAATTATGAGTAAATCTCATTTTGGATCTCTCCAAATAACAACAGCTTCTCAAAGATTCGAGAGAATTATGAGTAAATCTCATAATTCTCTCGAATCTTCCAGAAGCTGTTGTTATTTAGAGAGATCCGAAATTCATCCATTTCATTGTCGAAATGCTGAAGAATGTTCGTAGAACATGTTGTAAAGACAATGAACGTAGAGACAGCTGCGGCAGTGGATTATATTGTGTTACAAATGTGTCATAATAATGATTTCTCTTTCATTCGTATTCAACTTTCTTTTCTCATCAAAATCTATCAAAGTTACGTCATCTATATATATGTACAATTTTTATAAGTCTACTTACCTCGTATTCTACTGCAACAAATGCACACGAAAAACTTTATTTAGAAGTATAAAAGTAGACGAGATCATAAGATGATTGCCGGTTGCCGGTTTCTCGATGAGACGAGACGACAAGAAACCGAGACAAAAGACATATGAAACATTAGGACGCAATAATAACGTAATGGCAAGTTCTCAGTTTTAGCTTTCTTACAGCATGCTAAAGCGGTGGAATGAATGCGCACAACAGTAGCGAGTTCTAACTGTATGAACTTGCTGTTTTTGTCCGCATCTTTTCCATCTCTTCAGCATACTGTAAGAGAGCCAAAACTGAGAACACTGCGTACTGCCCGATGTTTGTTTTCAGCAGTTTTTATAAGGCGCGTTCAAAAAATACGCTGGCTGCGTTTATTTTTTACTGGCAATACTGAAAATCTATAGATTCATGTCACATACTATACTATAGATTTTTTAGTGCTGCCAGTAAAAAACGAACGCAGCCGCTACCCAGATAGCACATGAATGTTCATTGGATGTCCGAATAAACTCCAATGGACGTCCACTGATTGTCTTATGGACATCCATTTTTGACACTTTCGGTTATCCATTTGTTTTCCAAAAAGAAACCTAACAAAGATAATTTTAGCGTAATTTCACAGTAATATTAAC